TGTTACATCGTGGCAGAGGTTCAACACACTTTTGAATAATGGTTCTTTGATTTATTTTAATCCGGCACATTTGCATTCACAAGAAGAAGGTCCAGAAGTATTGTTTACAAAAATTATACGAGGAGTCCAAGCTTTACCACACAAATTTCAGAATTCGATCTCGTTACTACTACCGAATGGGAGTCTGTTCCAATTCTTCCTTTTTAATTATATGTTCTTTAATTGTTTTAGCATGCAATGGGGACATTGCATCATTTAAGTGTGGGGTAGGGGGTTAAATTTAGGAAAGCAAGCATTTTGATTAAAAATTTGAAAAATGTCTAGGATTTAAAAAATTGTTAGAAAGATTTGAAATAATAATCTAAAATTGAATCTAGTTAAAAGAAAATTTGTTATGTTAAGATCTAGGTTGTTAGTGTTGTGTGGGACGATCCGATGAGAGTTTCAAGGTTTATTTGAGCCAACATATGTTGTAGTGTATTTGTGGCTTCCCTATCCTAGTGAAATCATGGAACAAAACACGACCTTGCTTAGTTTGAGGGCCACAATATGTTTAGCATCGTCTACCCAAAATGTATCCTGGAGAGCTTATATAGTCATTGCACCTTAGACTAATACCTTTAACCAATAAGGGTCGAAGTTAAGTTCCTTTGCTTAAACATATGTTTTATAGGATTTTTAGTTTGGAGTGAAAAAGGTGAGAAAAGAAAAAAAATAGAAAAACAAGTTGCTAAAATTTGAAGAATAAGAGTCTAGAAAGCTATGAAGATCAAAAAATATCATGAAGAAAAGCTCCAAATTATCGAAGACTCAAGAATAAGGCGAAATTTGACAAGTTATTATTATTGTATTTTTTATTTTCTAGGTTATTTTTTCATATGTATGCTTGGGGTTTAACCAAAAATACCCTGAGGTTAAGAAGGCTTTTGGGGATGGATTCGGAGAGATTCATAAAATAAGTGTTGTTAAAAAGAAATGGGGAAGTGTTTATGAAGACCGTCAGTATTTAGGATTAGGGAAGTTCTTAGGAAAATATAGACACAAATACATGCATTGCTGTCCTAGAGTAATGGAGAGGCTCAAAATGGATTGTCTTGTGCGATATTGGTAGCTAAAGTCTTGATATGATAATAATAAAATCAGATTTGCTTGGGGGCCAGCAAAAGCCAAATGTGGGGTATTTTGACATGTGCATATGTAACTATATAATTCATGCATATTTGTAATACTCATAGCTACAATTTTGTTTATTTTGGAACAAAAGATACTTATTATGATTAAAATATGTTTTGTAGCAGCGAAGACTTGCTCGGGACATAAAGGAAGCATACGAGGAGCTGGAAGCAGGAAGCGGGAGCTAAAACCAAGGAAGAAGAAAAGAGGACTGAAGACCATATTGTGGTGATCTCCAACACGACATGGTGATAAGAAGATTCGCGACCATTAGAGCTAACTTGGCAGACACAGGATTTACTCGAGGACCACGTCGTGGTGGCGGTCAACCATGATGTGGTGATAAAATTTGACAATTATAAAATCTCATACATTAGGTTGAAATCAGAAAAATGCATTCGGTTTTCTAAGGTTAATTGCGACTAAGAACCCTTAGAAACCCAGAAGAGGATCGAAATGCAAGTGAAGCTCAACGATTGAAGAAGATTTAGAAGAATTCAACATTGATATAGTTTGTTTGCTTATCATACTTATGTCTAGCTTATTTTACATAAATCTATTGTGTTTTTCTACTACAATAAAAGGCTAAAAACCTTTTACTTTTATTTGGTGAAAACGAAACTTGATCCATATGAGCTGATTTTAGTATTTGGATGATTATATTTGATTTTACTTGTATTTGATATATATAAACCGTAACATGTTTTAGTTTTAGTTTATATTGCTTATACATTAGATTTTGTGTGTTAATTGATCATATTAATTGCACGAATCTATCTCCTGATTTTATATGATCATTAAATAGTTAGAGCTAGGGTAAATCACATCTTAGTTTAAGTAATTAAAGCCAGTAACTTTAACTGTGTTAGAGAGCATAATTAGTCTTAATTAGTGCTTGGTTGCTCAACTTGATCATAGGAGAGTAACTAATATCATTCATAGTCTAATTTGTGCTTAATATCATTTTGGTGTTTAACTTGTGCATGATCATTTCTTTGTAATTCATAAATTGGTAAGGTTAGATACTTGATCATAATAGCTAGATAAATTGTAATCAATATAATCTATCCATTATAGGAGAAGGTAAAATCAGATCTAGGCAGAAGTATTCTTTTAATTCTTGAAGTTAACTCGTTTTCTTTGTTTAATTGCTAGTTAGTAGTTTAAGTTCTTCTGATCTTGAAAAATCAATAAAACCACCCAATCATAGTTTGTTCTTAGTTTAATTAAAAGTAGTTAATTTATTTAATTGAATTATGTTCCTTGTGATCGACACTCAACTTACCTGAGGTATCCTATAATCTGAGTAGGTATACTGCCTATAAGTGCATAGTTAGTAAGAGTTTGTAAGGTTATAAATTTAAGTCTAGTAGGTACTTTTGTGCACATCAATCAATTTCTTTGGCTCCTGCTGATTGTACACATCATATCCTTCTTGTTGGTTCTCTTATGGTTAAGTTTTGAACAACATTTTGCAGATCCTTAGTTTGATTCTGGAATATCACAAGTGTTCATCCAATTATTTCAAACTAGGGATCTAATACAAACTTGTAACATCCCAAAAATCATGACAAAATTTTTGTTTTTAAAACCATCCCAAAATCCATAAATTACACCAAACCATAGTTTCCAAACCATAAACATGAATCAGAGTATCCCAAAGTCACAAGTCAATAAAAATACAAGATGGTGCGCACAATCATGCCTTCCCCTTGCCCCTGTCCTCGAATGTACCTGAAACCATAAAATCAAGATGAAAGCCAAAACTTAGTGAGTTCCCCCAAAGTACCACACACAACAACATAATACAATACACGTAACCAGGCCTACAACATTAGGCTGGGCCGCCACCGAGCCTTCAGCTGCTAGCTAGACCGCTCCCGAGCCTATAACATAAGTTGGACCGCCAAGTATCTTAGCCTTCAGCACAAAGCAGGATCACCTCAACCCCACAACACAATAACATGTCGACATATACAACTATAAACAACAACCACCAAGTACAGGTAATCTTACAGAGCTACCAGTCTAACATATCACTAGTGAATACATGTAATCATATAAAATCTACCAATCTAACATATAACCATCATACCATCATCCTAAATACCAGGATACATAAACTAGAGGGCCGACATTGGTGCCATCAACCCATGAGTACAGTGAGGAAAATTCACCATAATGTCCAAAAGATAGCTGAACTGAACGCTACTCTAAATACTGGCCCTACAAGTCACCTACACAACCAACATGGACCAAGCCTCAATCTACTACTCAATTCACTCTATTTGACCTAAAGTCAAAATTGGTCAATGGTAAACGGTCAATTGTCAAAATCCACACTCAAAAGTCACACGGCCAATATCTAGTGGTCACGTCGTGAGTCTCAAAGGTATGCATGATTCTTCTAATTGGGGTCACATCGTGATACCTAAGTGCTCACGTCGTGACCAAGGTTTAAACTTTAAGAATTTAGTCAAAAATTCCAAAATTGTGCTTACTCGGAACTGGGTGTTACAAGTCTAACAACTATATCTAACACGACAATTATACATACAATTGAAACACCTCATCCCCATGCGTCATTTATACTAACATGACAATTATACATACAATTGAAACACCTCATCCCCATGCGTCATTTATACAGACACCAGACAACAACTAACATCCTATATTAATAGTTGGGAAGCTAAACAACCTAACCTGCAACAATTTAATTTTAAACGACAATAAATTGAAGGACGTATCAACATGCTAAAAGGCCATAACCGCAACCCACCAACGAGCCCCTCCCGACCGAGTGACACATCAGAAAACAACGGATTATTAGAGGCTGTTTTTTGCAAATAACGTTGAATCAGACATGTCATGTGGCCTTAAAATGTGGCATTTTCGACAACTCAATAAAAGTCATCTTAAGTTATATATGATATTGATTCTTACATAAATATGAATGCCATGGTGTGCAGCAGGACCGGATGTTGGTACTTCCAACTTCTTTTGGTGTGATTAGGTTCTCCTCAAAATGAATTGTTTACCAATTTCCTTAGGCTTCCAAAGTTACGCATAGGGGCATTTTCATCTAGTCGATTTCTTGTACCTTTTAAGATTGGTTGAGGACTCGATAGATCATGTTTTCATTGCATGCTCATTTGCCACAAACGTTTCAATGTGGATTCTAAATGGGGATGCGAGGAGTGTATATAAGAGTTCAAAGCTACTATCTTCAACATGTTAGTTTATTTGGATGACTAGGAACCCAATTATTTTAAGAAATGATAAGACCTCTCCAATGAAGGTTGCATAAGAGATTTAGATTCAACTAATTAGTTGGATTAAGCACCATGCTAAATTTTGTAGCCTTAACCGACATTATTATTTATACAGTTCTCTATTTAATATTTGTAACTTTTAATTTTGCGGACTAGCTTCTTTAGCTAGTCGGTTGTTTGTGCTAATTAATAAAATCTTTAATAGTTGTAAAAGAACCTACATAAATATTAGAATGGAGAAAAAAAATCTTTCACCAAGAACATTGTTTATGAGTTCATTACAACTTTAATTGTTCATCAAAACGCAAATTTACAACTTCCCACAAGTGTTCAAACCTTAAATATATATACATATATACTCTATATTTAAACAATAAAAATGTTTACACTGTTACACATGTATCTGACATTCACAACATTTACATTAGTTGTACGTATAGATCGTGCAGGACTTTTATGGAAAAAAATAACCTCAACACCGTCACTCCCAACATCCCTCGTGGCCATCGCATCCATAATCGAATAAAATCCCCTCTATAACGAAGAAGCGGACGAGTTTCCTCTTTCACCATATAAATTACAAGCACACAACCCGTCATTTGCTCCATCTAGATCCCACTCCTCTAGATCTCCCCTTCTTTCTCTGTGTAAAAATGGCAAAATTTGTTTTCATTTTGCTTGCTTTCTCCTTCACGTACACTTCTGTTCTTCTTGCTGCTCATCCTCCAACTCCTGTTGAAGGTACATAACAGTTTCACAAATAACAGATGCAGCATTACAGAAATAAACACCACTAACGCCATTGTCGATCGTGTTTTTGCAGGTCTCTTACCAAATGGAAACTTCGAAGAACCACCGAAGTCAAACAACATTAATAAAACATTCCTGCTAGGCAAAAACGCATTACCCAAATGGGAGATCAGCGGCCAAGTGGAGTACATGCAGGGCGGACCTCAGCCTGACGGGAGGTACATAGCCGTCGCCCAAGGCATCCACGCCGTCAAACTGGGGAATGAAGCTAATATCTCTCAAACGATACCCGTGAAGGCTGGATCTCTGTATGCCATAACGTTCGGTGCTTCAAGAACTTGTGCACAGCAGCAGGTGTTGAGAGTGTCTGTGCCACCACAGTCGGGGGATCTTCCGCTCAAGACTTTGTATTGCACTGACGGTGGCGATGTGTATGCTTATGGTTTTAGAGCAAATTCAAGCACCGTGAGGTTAACCTTCCATAACCCTGGGGTAGAAGAAGATCCTAAATGTGGGCCAATCATTGATTCCGTCGCCATCAAAGAACTCTTCCCTCCAAGACCTACACGACGTAAGTAGCTCTCAAAAACTTCCAATCTGATCGATTCTAGTTTCCTGTGAATTCATGCATTGTTTTTGTTGCAGTTAATATCGTGAAAAATGGTGGATTCGAGGAAGGTCCTCGTTTATTATTCAACTCTTCCAATGGCGTCCTTCTTCCTCCTCAACAACAAGACATCACATCTCCTCTCCCTGGGTGGATCATCGAGTCTTTAAAAGCTGTTAAATTTATCGACTCCAAGCATTACAACGTTCCACACGGTGACTCAGCCATTGAGCTGGTTGCCGGGAGAGAAAGCGCTGTCACACAAATCATCAGAACCATCCCTAACAAACTGTATATCCTAACATTCTCCATTGGAGATGCCAAGGACTTTTGCGTTGGAGATATGATGGTTGAAGCATTTGCTGCCAAAGACACCCTGAAAGTACCATTCAAATCGGAAGGGAAGGGGAAGTGGAAGACAGTTACCATGAAATTTAAGGCAATCTCTTCGAGAACCCGACTGAGCTTCCATAGCTCGTATTACCACACTAGGATTGACGACACCGTATCCCTTTGTGGCCCTGTGATCGATGACGTTCGCGTGCTGTCTGTCAAGGATGCAGCCAAAATTTAATAGGACTTAAACCGTAATATAAGGTATTAAGGTATTTATATACGGATAACAATGATGAAGTCTATGAATTTGAAAAAATTTTGAGAAAGAAAAATGTGTTGAAATAGAAAGTACATTGATTTTTGTGGGTTTATGTAATACCTTCCCAAATATTATTGCAATATAATTATGATTCATGAACATAATTTTGTTAAAATCGAAATTACATTGATTTTTTTGGGCATGAACTTATCGTTTACACTGAAAAAATAGTTCGATGATTCTCGTTTTACACACGATTTAATCTAGCCTTATAAGGCTGTAATAAAAAAAAGACTAAAATTACCTATCATAATAAATTTATTAATTATAAATTACAGCAAATTAAATATGTACTAACAATTAGAAATATGAATGGAAACGGTGTAGCATTACAGACATAGAGCAACTTTTAATTAGAAGCTATTACAAAAACAATTATTATATTATTATATTAGGTGTAAAACCCGTGAATTTTAAAAAAAATAAAATATTAAAATGTAATTAATAAGTATTTTTTAAAATAAAAAAAACTTAGAAACATATTAATTGCAATTTATTATAATATTTATTACATTTGATACTTTATATATATATATATATATATATATATATATATATATATATATATATAAGTATAAGATTATGTGGCCTTTTAATTTTAAAATTTGAAAAAAAAAACCATAAATTGACATATGAATATTATTTATTTAAAAAATATCACAAAATGACAAGTATTAAAAACTTACTAGAGATTGACATGTGACAAAAAAACCTTCATTCATTAGAAATGATATATATATTAAAACAAGTTGACATAAAAATAGTAAAGTTGTTATGTTTCACATTTTTGCTATAAGTTTTTCATTTTAGATTTTTGCCGCAAGAGGTTATGAATTTTTGTGTTTCACATTTTTGCAACAATAGTTGTCTCTTAGATATTTTAATTTGGAACAAAATTCGAATACCTTCACAAATACTTCTTAAAAAATAAATGTTGAAAATTAACATTTGTAATCGGTGCTGATATATCCACTTATGTTTTTTATAGATCCACAGAAATATAAAGTAAACTGACATTTTTGCCCCTACCCACTTATCTTCCTTCCTCCTTCTCTTTGATCGGTCTTTCCTTCTCTTATAGAGTGTTTGGGATTGCTTTTTGAACTCTAAAAGTGCTTTTAGATAGAAGTGTTTATTTGCTTATAGTGGTGGTAAAAGGAGTTTTTTTAAAAAGTGTTTGGATAAGCTTTTATAAAGAAAAAGTCAATAAATCAATAAGTTAAAAAATGTTTGGCTTAAGAAGTGCTTTTTGAAGTTATTTTGGTTGAAAAGCCATAAACAGTTTCAAAAAGCCACGTTTTACATGCTTATTAAAAAGTGTTTTTTGAAGCTTACGGAAAAGCTATTCTGAAAAGTGCTTTTGAATTTGCCAAACACTTTTTTTGACTTATTGGTTTTTCAAAAAGCCAATAAGCCAATAAGCACTTTTCAAACGCAATCCCAAACACCCCTTTACCCCACCAAAAAACCAGTAAAACTCAAGGGCCAAGATATAATTATGTTTCCCTTTCTTAAATCCAAATCTTCGATTTGCCTAGCCTCTTTTTCCCACTCTTGTTGCCGGATACTACAACATCATTGTCAAAACCAAGACACCATCAAGAATACACAAGAAGTAGCCAGAAACACTCTAACCAAGAACCATAAAGTTGCCGGAGTCCAAGAACCATAAAAATGTCGGAGAAGGCAATGTTTACTGGAAGAACATATTCACAACCTCTAATTACCAAAGACCATGAACAAATTTGCTAGAGTTTGGTGGTTGGATCTGCAGCTCTCATCCTCTATCTTAATCGTTATATCTGGTGGTGGGCTCAACTAAGTTTCATTGGCTATATTCCAAGCTATTTTCAGATTCAAGGCTATTTCAAGATGCAAAAAAAAACACCATTATAGATTACATATTGAAAGCAGTTGCAGATGGGTAAAATCAAGTGGTTAAAATCAAGCTAAAAATGCACAATTATAAAGCATAATCGCAAAGCTTTTTGACACACACAATGAAGGATCCTTTTGCTCAATGCTAGTTCGGGAGAACCCACATTGAGTTTGACACACAATGATTTTCTCACAGGAGTTTTGTTGTCTTCTTTGACTTTCTTGTCGGAATGTGAAGATTGTGTGTTTCTAGAAATGGGTTTCGCTGGTTTTGTTATTAGCATGGGAAGTTTAAGAGCTCACTCAGGTGACAAATGAAATAAACACATGAAATCAATTAGCTTTACATGTTGAAGGAAAGACCGATCAAAGAGGAGGGGGGGGGGGGAGATAAGTGGGCAGGAGAAAAAAATGTCTATTTACTTAAAGATTATGTGGATGTATAAAAAACATTCGTGGATATATCAGCTCCCATTTGTAATCAACATTAGGCATCGTTGTTGTCAAAGTTATTGATTTTATCATTCCGTACTGTCTGTTTATCATAAACAAGCTCTTATATGGTAAGTGATATCGACAATCATATTGCTAATTCTTGTTCATATATTTCTCATACAACTGTTGTAGATTTGCCTTCATATAGTAAAACATTTTGTATTTGTTTCACGTTGTCCAACTGTCTTTCAAGCAAATGCATATTTCCGTCGACGATTGAGTTTTGTGTTATGTTTCAAGGGCATCAACATCGATTTTCTAGGGCTAATCTTTTTCTTTAACTCTTCTTTTAAAGTAATTGACAACTGCTTTCTTTGCTTGTTCTTCTAATGATGCCTCTTGCATCAATATATGTTTCTATATCTCTTATTTCTCTATTTGTCTAATGAGAGTTGGATCTTTCTCCTCTGACAATTTCCTTCGAGCCTTAACATTGACTATAATACACTTTCATTTTACTTCCTCGTCCAACTTAACTTTGAAAACATCATCTACTTGTTCTGCCAGCTCTTTATCATTAGGTTTTTTTTACCTTAAGTAACATTTGGCTTTGATCAGAGAGTTTTCGACAACTAGTGTAACACCTTTTGTCACAACCACTCTTTTTCTTTCATGGCCTCTTCATCTATGATCTTATCATAAGTCATTCTTCCATTAACTAGTGTAACACCTTTTGTCACATCATCCTTTTATTTGTGGATCTTTGACATATTCTCATTATGAGAATCTTGTTTTTTCTTCTGTTCTACTATGAGCATCATGAATGGAAAATGACCAAACACCCGTGGAATCTCACTAGAATTACTCATCTCTCGTGTATCACACCTCTCGGCACCTAGGTGGCTTTCCAACTCTTGAAAATTGGAATATGTACCCGACACTCCATGGAGCTCAACTACAACATGATGTTGGAAATGGGTGACTAATGTCAAAACTAATTGGTATAACTTTAGGAATAATAACAAAGTCATTTTAGGGTTGCCTCAAGAACTAAAAGAGATAGAAAAAGATTTATGCGAGAGAGATAAATAGTTTATTAAATTATCGTATCCTGATAAATTAGTTAGAAACTTGTTTAAATTAATTTAGAATTAATTTGAATTAACTTGGAATGAATTGGAATTAATTACAATTAATCGATAATTATTAAAGGTACATGGATTGAATAGTAATTGCTCAATAGTTTCGCAACTGGAATATTTTGGAAACCCTATAGGGTTGGATGAAAATTGGAAAGGAATTATCCCATTAATTTTTCGTCCATAACTACTAATAAGGAAGAGATTTGAATTAAGATTAAATCTGATTATTTAATTAATTAAGGTCTGCTTTCTCTGCTAGGTTGTTTAACTATATATAGACCCTTCTTGTCTTCATTGATTCCATTCCAAGATCCCTTGCACTCTGAGATTTCGAGTTTTGCAAGCCTCTTCTCATCTCTCATAATTTTCTAGTGTTTAGTCTTTTGGGTGTGATCCTTTACAGACAATCTCTTTTGGGTGCTAGAACCTTCCCTAAGCTTCAAGGTTATTCAAGATCTACAAGGATTCAGGAAACAAATTCGATTTTGTTTAAAGGTTAGTAATCATATCTCTCTTTGTGTTATTATTTAGTATTTTCAAAAGTAGGTTGTTATAACTAGTACAACTTAGATCCTAGGTTGCATGAACACTTAGGGTTATATTAATTACTTTCGTTGCCAAATATTAGTAGTATAGATGCATAGAAAATCTATCACATGAGTGCATCCAATTTGATCATTCATGTGGATGCTTAGATGAAATTGATTCATTTCTAATCTTGAAGGTCTTCTAAAGGTTCCTTGATCTGTGACCTGAGGAAAAAGCGATTTCCTCTTTATTCTGGCAGCATTGGATGTCGCCGCATGGGAATTTCTTCAAGTGTGCTATTTTTTGTTCTATTTGGTGTCCAGAATATAATTAGAAGCACATTTTTTTTATGCAGATCTTGACCCTTCAATATTAGTCTCTATGGGTTTAGTAGAAACTAGATGTATGGTTTCCTCTAAATATTTCTTCACCACTGCATTATTTTGACTTAGCAATCCTAGAGTAATGTTGGGAAAACAAAATCACTCTATCGGAGAGTTAATGTTTGGAGTGTAACACTTCATTGGTGCTGCCTTGAACTTCTCTTCTCCTTAATAAGTAGAAATTTCATATTTTTCGTATAACTTCGAATACAAAGAGTCCATTATACTATACTTTGAATTTTTGACTTGTTATGGCCAAATATTTCTTAAAGTCTCCCCAGAGAATCGTACCAAAATCTATGAGATGATAGTGAAATAAACTCCACATTACATTTAACCAAAGGATATTGGGAGTGTCGGTTCCACCTCTCTTTCTACAAAAACATCTGAGAATAAAATGTATTAAAAAATGCCTAATGATGGGAAATTTTACTTTCTTGTTGTTTGTTGGATTTGGATGGTTGTCTTCGTGATCTATTTCTTTCATTGTCACTACTAACTATTCCGTCATAGGATTTTCATAGATGAGTTTAGGCTTTTAAGTGGAAATCCGATAACCGAGAGAAATATTTCTACATCTAGGCTCACTTTGGTTTTGTTGATGAGAGAGAAGTAGATGTAGTCTTCATTCGTTGGTATTTTGGTTGTTGAAATTCCTTTCTGATGAAAATGAAGAGGTATGAT